ACATGAGTTTGGGTAAACTCTGGGAGTTGGTGATGGACAGGGAGGACTGGCGTGCTGCGATTCATGGGGTCGCAAAGAGTTGGACACGACTGAGTGACTAAACAGAACTGAACTGAAAGTTGTAAGAACAGCACAAAAGATGTTTCCCTGAGCTCTCTGAGAGCAAGCTGCCAGTGTCCTGTCCCATTACTTCAATATGTGGTGTGCATTTCCACACACAAAGACAGCCTCCTCCTCAACACAACCCTACCATCAAAACCAGGATGTTAACACTCACACATGTTCACTGTCAAACTCACACACTACTCAAGCTTTATGAATAAGACCCTAGTCTCTGAAATAGAGAACCTCATACCACTAGAATTTCCTTTTAACATCCTAGCTGCTTATCTTTGCTATAAAGTCCTGTCAAATGCCCACCCAGTTAAATCCTGACATTCCAGTTGGTTAAAAAAAAAAAAGTTTACCTACATACAGCACAGGTAATTCTACTCAGTGTTACGTGGCAGCCTGGATGGGAGGAGAGTTAGGAGGAGGAGAATGGATACATGTATATGTGTGACTCAATCCCATTGCTTTTCACCTGAAACTACCACAACATTGTTAATCTGTTATACTCCAATATAAAATAAAAAAATTTTTTAAAAAAATCCCAAGTTGTCCCGTCTGTGTGTTTTCTTGCAGAAGTGAGTCGCTCAGTCAACCCCACATGGATACGCTTTGAGGAACCTGAGGAATTTCACTCCCACGACCAGCCCCGCTCCAACCACAAGTCTCAAACCAGACAGCACGAGGTGTACTTCAGAGAGTGAGCAGTGGTCCTTCAACAGCCTCTCTCTGCTCCCGGGTCTGGCGTGAGCTCAAAGAGGCGGAGTCTTGGTGCTAACCACCGGCAGGTGACTGACTGGCCTCAGGTCAGGTCACACAGAGGCCAAGGCTAAGGAACAGCCCTGGTGGCAGCCCACTGCTGGTTCAAGACACCATGGGAGGCAGTCAGCAGTGGACATGTGGGCCTTGGAGCCAACCCGCCACTGGTGGCTACTAACAGGTTCTAATGGAACCGTGGTTCTCTAGGCATCCTGGTCAGTACTTGGGCCTCAGGTGACCACTGAGAAGACAGTTAACCTTTGGGGCTCCAGCAGGTTCCAGCTGCTGTCAAGAAGTAGCAAGAAAGATAGGTCTTTGATAAAATACCTCCCCAGCTAAGAAGATTTAGCACATGGCTTGACAACACCTCACCTGCATGGTTTTAGGAGTCAGGTCATGGAAATACCAAGGCCAGGTCAGAGCCCAGGGATGTGCTGAGCCTTTAAAACGTTATCTGCACTCTGCCAGGAGAAGCAATTCATAAGGACAGTTCCTTGTTATCACTGGAAAAGTTCTCTTTGACTGTTCATGACCATGAGCTGAAGAGAAGAGATCTATGGTTGCATGTATGCATCAGTGCACAGCCTGTATGCAAAGAAGTACTCATGTTGTTTTACTTAATTATAAATTATTAAAAGAAAAAAAAGAATGTTATTTGTTTCCTAACAGAGAGCTCTTCGGGGGGAAGGCACTGCTTTTTGTCTGGGGGCTTCCCAAGCGGCACTAATGGTAAAGAGTCTGCCTGCCAATGAAGGAGACAGAAGAGAGTCAGGTTTGATCCCTGGGTCAGGAAGATCCCCGGAAGGAGGGCAGGGCAACCTAGTATTCTTGCCTAGAAAATGCCATGGACAGAGGAGCCTGGCGGGCTACAGCCCATGGGGTCGCAAAGACTTGGACATGACTGAGCATGCCTACACGCACTGCTTTCTGTCTAACAAAGGATAAGAAGTGATTGAATTAACCTGGCGACCAACCTCAACCCAGTGCAGGAATGTAAAAAAGCAGGAGAGGCTCTGTGGATCACAGGTGCCTGCAGCTAGAGATCTCAACACGTATGTGGTACACAGGGACTTTGCTAGAAAGTCTGTGGTGTTTTGTCCCAAGCCAGGTGTCTGCCCGGGAAATCTTAATCTGACTTTAACCACAGCAGTAGAATCACAAACTGGATGATGTCATGAGTAGCTATGAGAAGGTTGACACATGTGGTGTGGTTTCTGAGCCTGTTTTCACTATTTCTGATGCACGGTGGAGAGAAAATACATTGGCTCCATAATCCACCTAGGATCAAACTGGAATTCCGACAACACACAGGTCACAGCGATTTAAACAGGAAGCCTTGGAAGGCTTAGCTCTAAAGACCAGTGGGAGGCAGGAGAGGATGGGGAAAGTCTTCACACTTTCCTTCTCAACACTGATGCTGTGGCAGGTCTGATGATGGAGAGATAAGTCACTCCACCACAGTGACCTCTAGTTGGGCGCCTCCCTTTTCAGTCACACTGCTTGAGGGGTCGATGGAGGACTCAAGCCCAGATAACAAGGTCTCTTTGTCCAAGAAAAGCAAGCCTTTGGGTGAGCAGGGTAAACACATCAAAGCGAAAAAGACCAACCACGAAGGGGGGCGTTTCTCCCAGGCAATGGGAATACTGGACCCCATGAGCCTTTAGAGCAGGGGTCCCTAATCTCCGGGATCTAACGCCTAATGATCTGAGGTGGAGATGATGTGAGAATGATAGAAATAACATGCACAATAAATATAACATGTTTGAATCATCCTGGAACCATCCTCTCCCCTCCAGTCTTGTGGAAAACTGTCTTCCACGAAAACAGTCCCTGGTTCCAAAAAGGTTGAGGACCACTGCTTAGACTATAAATATTAACTGCTGTGGATAGATACGGATGTTCAGAACATAACTTGGTTGGTGTTTTTACAGTAAATAACGGTTGGTGCAAACGTTTCCAAGGCTTGATGGGGGAGGAAGGGTGGAGAAGGGTGGTTAGTCCCCAGAAAAGGAGCACGGCTCCCCAGCACAGCTCTCGAGTGCCAAGGAGAGCTGCACAGAGAGAGTTACAGAGGAGTGAACGCTGATTCTATTTAAGGAAGAGCTTTCTAGCAATCTGTGTTCTCCCAAAATGGAACTAGCTGGCTCTGTGGAAGGAGACATGAGCCTGCAGAGCTGGGTGGCCATCTGTTGGGGCAGGAGAGAAAAGACCGGCACTCCACACGTGGACAAGCTGGCTGAGCCATGCCCCTGAGTCCTGGGAGTCCCAGAGACTGACCATGGCTCATGGAAAACCGAACCAGAGCACAGATGTGCTTCACAGCTCAGCTGTCTTCTCGTTCTAAAAGCTGAAGGGAGGAAGGACAAGCTGTTCAAGGGGATTTGTGGGTAACCTGGAGGTCTACCTTCACCTTATTTCACTCCCCGGCAATCCATCCCATTTCTGGGTGTTTCATTCTTTATTGGACTTCCCCAATAGCTCAGAGGTAAAGAATCCACCTGCCAATGTAGGAGATGCGTGTTTGATCCCTGGGTCGGGAAGATTCCCTGGAGGGGGAAAAGGCAACCCACTCCAGGTTTCTTGCCTGGAAAATCCCATGGACAGAGGAGCCTGGCAGGCTACAGTCCATGGGGTCACAAAGAGTCAAACATGACTTAGCGACTAAACAACATCATTCTTTACTAGAACCTTGAGAATATATTTTTTAAAAATGGTAAGGAAGAAGACAAAACAAATCAACAATGTTGAGCATCTCCCCAAAAAAGGGATTTGAGTAGATGAGGAAAAGAAGAAATAAAACTAAGTTCAGGGCACTCCTAAAGTATTTACCTAGTCACGCTTTCTGAAATTCTAGATCACAGTTAACGGAGAGTTATACGCACAGGACAACAGTGTTTCTTTCAAGTGACAAGCTTGGAAAAAAAGACAAACGGGTGTCACTTTCATGGAAAAGAATCAGATTGCTCATGAAAAGCGGAATTTCTCCATCGGGCAGAGTCTACAGTAGCTGATGTGACCCACACGCAGGCCAGTGTCTCATTTCTCTTTCAGAGTATAGAAATAACCTAACCCATGACACAAAATTACTCCCCAGTGGGTGAAGGCTTTGTATGGTTTCAAAGAAAGTCAGTTGACTTTTCAAGATTGCAGAAAATGAAAGATGAATACTTTGCAACACTCATCACACTCAGAGCTTAATTTTCCTTTCAGTTTCCCTACCCGTTCCCCTGCCTCAAATGAAACTAATTCTCAGGTTAGAAATAAAAAGGAAAACTTCAAGGACGTGTAACATGGGTAATAACACTGACCTATTTCTAGAGTAAACTCTCCCGTGACAGCCAGTGGTCTCAGGGTCCACTGTACAGTGCTCACGGAAGGAGACACCATGGACCTGACCTTCAGGAAGTAACTCTTACTCCCTCTGCAGCTGTGACTACTGCAAGGAAGCCTGATGCCCACACGAAGGCGAGACCAGACACCATCAACTCCAGTGGACCCAGGTGGCCTCTCTCATGTCCAGACACCAGGGAAGGGGACAGGCGCATGGGAAGAAAGCCAGGTACCCAGCTGGCCCCCTGTGAGTCACCCCAGCGGCCTCGGCATCATACCGCCCCCTCTGAGTCCCCACCTTGGCTGCCACCGTGTGCAACTGTGGCATGAAATGCCACCAACTCAACAGGGGGAAACAATTCACCAGGTTCCAGGTGCTTTTCACCATCTCCTCCTCTACTTGCAAACGTTCCATGCACAGGATTTTGTGGGAGAAAAGACTGGAGGGAATACCCGGGCGGAGCTGTAGATGTGCCTGGAGGGGCTAATTCCCATCTCAGGCCCCTCCAGAACATTGATGCCAGGAGACTGAGATGTGCAGGGGGGGAGGTGGAGGTTCAAAACACACAGAAGTGTCAGCTTACAGAAACCTCCAAACTTGAACATCTTGAGGAAATGACAAACAGACCATTTCTGCACTGCATCTGTCAAAGTCCAGAGACTTGAGAAGTAGAAAGATGCCTTTTTTCTTCAAACACAAATGAACATGACAACTCCTCCTACCCCCCGCCCTGAGAGTGCCCACCCTCTAGGATGGGACGGGCTGGGATTCAGCCCAGGGTCCCGCCACGCCCGCCACTCACCGAGAGTGTCCTTGATGTTCTTCACCAGGGAGCCCTTCTTCAGGCTGTTCTTCCTCTCCACGTAGTTGGACGGCACATAGCCTGTCCGGTTGGCTGCGTTGCGAACCCGCCACCACGTCTTGGAGTCGTCCAGTAGCCACAGGCGCTCGTTCTTCTTGATGTCCAGCTCCTGATCCTGCTGGGCCGTGTAGTCCCACTTGGCTATGACGATGACCTCCTCTGTCATCTTTCATGGAGTCCTTCTGCCAGCAAAACATTTGTAAGAGAGTCATTAGAGCTCTGGCCAAACACCACTGCATCCACTTGGAAAACTACGCCCTGACAGCTTTTATTACAACTTGGAAACCATCAAAAAGAATGAAGTGACGCCATTTCCAGCAACATGGATGGACCTAGAGATTATCATACTGAGTGAGGTAAGTCAGACAGAGAAGGGGAGATATTGTATGACATCCCTTATATGTGGCATCTAAAAGGACATGATACAAATGAATCTTACTTACAAAACAGAAACAGACTCAGAGAACAAACTTATGGTGGCCAGGAGGAAGGTTGGGGGAAGGGATAGTTAGGGAGCATGGGATGGACAGGTACACACTGCTATATATAAAATGGATAACCAAAATGGACTTACTGTAGAGCAGTCTGCTCAATATCATATGGCAGCCTGGATGAGAAGGGAGTTTGGGTGAGAATAGATACATGTGTATGTATGGCCGAGTCCCTTTGTTGTTCACCTGAAACTATCCCAACATTGTTAAGCAGCTATACTCCAATATAAAATAAAAGGTTTAAAAAACAAGTCTGCAACTGGCTGTCTCTGGGGTCTTGAAAAAACCCTAAGATGCCCTTTCATCAACAAGTTTTAGTATTTTGTTTACAAATGGTGACCTTATCAAGCAAATCTTAATTTTGCACAGTGGGAACTGTACGCTTTGCTTAAAACAACAACAAAAACTTTCCAAAACCTTCTACATAAAATAACCGTATCATAATTAAATATGTTCAGTTCAGTCACTCAGTCGTGTCCTACTCTTTGCGACCCCATGGACTGCAGCACGACATGTCCCCCTGTTCATTGCCAACTCCTGGAGTTTACTCAAACTCATGTCCATTGAGTCGGTGATGCCATCCAACCGTCTCATCCTCTGTTCATTGGTTAAGCAACACCAGATTCTTGCGGCTGACATTGTTACATCCATTTTCTCAGGATAAGCTGAATTTTCTGAATTTAATGACTGTGACACATCCAAACTGAAGTGTGGTATCCTGGACTGAATCCTCAAATATGAAAACTAGTGAAATCCAAGTGAAGTCTGGGGCTTCCCTGGTGGTTCAGAGGTAAAAAATCTGCCTGCCAATGCAGGAGACATAGTTTTGATCCCTGGGTCAAGAAGATCACCTGGAGGAGGAAATGGCAACCCACTCTAGTATTCTTGCCTGGGAAATTCCATGAACAGAGGAGCCTGGTGGGCTACAGTCCATAAGGTCACAGAGAGTCGGACATGACTGAGTGACTAAATAACAACAGCAACAAAGTGAAGTTAGTCAACAGTTTAGCACTAACCAACTCTTACTTTTGACAAATGTCCCTTGTCAAGTAAGATGTTAGCACTTAGGAAAACTGAGTGAGGGATATTTGGAATGCTTTGCACTATCTTTGTAGCTTTTCCATAAATAGGAAATCATTCTTGGAACCTGAAACACAGATGTTTATAGTGGCTTCATTCATAACTGCCAAGATTTGGGAGCCATCCAGTTGTCCATCAGTAGGTGATGGGTAAATCAACTGTGGTCCATCCAAATAATGGAATATTATTGTTGTTGTTTAGTCCCTGAGTTGTGTCTGACTCTCTGAGACCTGCCAGGCTACTCTGTCCATGAGATTTTCCCAGACAAGAATACTGGAATGGGTTGCCATTTCCTTCTCCAAGGGATCTTCCCAATCCAAGGATTGAATCTGTGTCTCCTGCACTGGCAGACAGTTTCTCTACAACTGAGCCACCAGGGAAGCCCCAGTGAAATATTACTCAGTGATAAAAAGAAATGAGCTGCCAAGCCATGAAAAGACATGGAGGAACTTCAGATGCATAAGACTACGTGGAAGAAGCCCATCTCAGAAGGCTACAGACTGTATGATTCTCACAAAGACTCTCTCCTTGACCACACTTGAGTCAGACTCCTCTGTGCAGACTAGACATCAATTTGTGTACTTCTGTGTCTCTCTCTGCATTCTAGCAAGAATCCTGCTGAGTTGCTGGACCCTTACCGAGGTGATGCCTGTTCTCAGGAGGCATCCTGTGAGGTCAGTGCAGCCAGAACGCCCTCTCACCTCTGATGCTTCCTCTCACCTGCTCTCCAGCCCCTCACTCCTGGACTACAAGCCCCTCCCTCTTCCCTCCCGCAGGTGGATGTGAGGCCAGTCTCTCCCCACTATGGCAAAAGTCCCTCAAAGTACTTCCCTGAGTAAAATCAGCTAAACCATGCTTTAAGAAATGTCATGTTTTCGCCAATAATTCCAAGAACATAACATTCCGGAAATGGCAAAACTATGGAGACATTGCAAAAATCAGAGACAGGGAGAGATGACTAGGTGGACCACAGGGATTTTTAGAGCAGTCCGACAATTCTGCACAATATAATAATAGTGGACACATGTCATGACACGTGTCAAGAACCACAAAATGTGCAATACCAAGAGTGAACCATAATACAAAATTACTCCAAAATTAGAAGTTTATTAAAACAACAAAGAATTCAGTATATTATATACCTCAACAAGTCAGTTTTGGAAGTAACAAATAGTAAAAATATATCTGAATGAATACAATAACTATTGTATTTATTTTATTTATTTATTGTACTTATTGTATGTATTTACTGTATTTAGTTCTTCAGCCATATCTAACTCTTTGTGACCCCCCATGAACCCACGAGGCTCCTCTGTCCGTGTCATTCTCCAGGCAAGAATACTAGAGTGGGTTGCCACTTCCTCCTCCAGGGGATCTTCCCAACCCAAGGATCAAACCCGCATCTCCTGCATTGGCATGCAGATTCTTTACCACTCAGCTACTGGGGAAGCTCAACAATGATTATAGTTATGAGCTATTTCATAACTTCTCAGGTAGAAGATGGGTCAGTATGTTTGCAACAGAAAAATTCAACATTCAGTCCTTTAAATGACTACACATTTACTCAAAACTAGGGAGATATGAATAATGGAAAGACTCTTGACTCAAACCCTCTTCTGACAGGGAAGAGTTCTCATTATTTATAGGGGCGACTTCAGGATGACAGAGGGGACCTAGCGCACTGACTCCGCAAAAGAATGAATCCCATTTTTAAATAACATGACACTCTCTGCTGCTAGATGCTAAAGACACTTATAAATAATACATGTTCTCCTCCTTCATGAATTAACTTCCAAACTTACAGATAAAAAACCTTGGGGGAAGGAGGAGATGATTAACAAAGCTTATGCATAATGTACACAATATCCAGGAAGACAGTTTACACAAAGCTCATTGCCAAACTGTAGGCAATATTGTTATCTACTTTCAGAAAATCTCAAGTCCATGGGTGTCTTCATACGTACTGAACTCACTGTCAGGTTTGATTTTTGAAGGCCATGGAGGTTGTTTCTCTTTTTTCAGTCATGAGGGGAGGGGCCCGAGCAGTAACAGGAATGGGGTTTAGAGAGTATTTTATTGGGATACCAGGTTTGTATCTTAATTACAGTTGTTTTAAAGAGAGATTTGAACAAGAACAGCTCATCACTTAAGACCAATCAAATCAATCTATAAATTTTCTGCATAATTTAACTGCGTGAAAAAGATGGTAAGTTAGGCTCTGGCTGGCATGGTAGGTTTCAGTGCAGGTTGACAATCGCAGGGAAAGGAGCCTGGAGCACTCTGTGCCTGGCTCCACCCCCATTGGTCACCTGGGACCCCTAGGAGCTGGGGCTGAACATCCCTAGCATATCACAGGCCTCAGGTGACTCCGACAGCCCTCCTTGAAGGTTCTCCTCCTGGGTCCAGAGCAGGGACTGTTGGAAGTGAGTGCTCAGTCCAGGGGAGGATACTGGTATGCACAGGGTGTTCGTTCACTCTCCAAACACCCACCTCTCTGGGAAGTGTGAACTTTAAGAAGAGAGAAAATCAGAGATTCAGAGACTTGCTGAACAACAGAGCCAGGACTTGAGCCCAAGGTTGTGCTCCTGTTCTCACTTCTTGAGTGAGTGATCACAGCCCACTATCAACAACCATCTCACCCTAGCAATCACAGCTCTCCATCAACAACCACCTCACCCCAACGACAACACTCTCCCATCAACAACCACAACAATAACCACACCCCCCATCAACAACCAATCACGGTCAATGCACAGGTCTACCCACCCCACCCACCAGCACCCAGGCCACAGACCCCATTTTGCCTTCCCTTGGCCATTCAGGCTGTAGAGGCCGCTGGCTGGATGGCCATCCGGGAGGGAGCTGTCGATAAGGGTAAGAGGGGCAAGAGTGGGGGTTCCACCCGAGGTCCTGGGAAACTGTTCTAGGAGGCCAGGAGGAGCCAGTCCTTCCATTGATGAAAAGTCTGCTATGAGTGTAGGATGAACTGTGTAGTAAGAAGAGGCTGGTGCTGAATTATATAAACCAGATGTACAAATTGACTTAAATTCCTAATACGGAAAAGCCATCCAACAGAAGAAAGTCTGAGGAAGTACCTTCTAACTGACTACAGAACTTTTAAATCAGAAATGGGACTCTGATGTGGTCTAGGACTTACCAAGGTCACATATAAAGCATAGTGCACATTTACCCCTCCAGCTTGGGCAGGTAAAGAAAATCAAATTTTTGCCTTCATTCACTAAGCTAGTATTCACCCACCTATAGCCAACAGAAAGAAGAGCCACAAAGTTAATATTTTGCAGCCAGATCATGTTTCATGTCATGTGACCAGTCAACCCTATTTTATACTGAATTAAAGAAACTCAGAAAATCTAACATGCTAAGCTGCTTTTTCAAGTCTTGGGTGGAAGAAGATTAAAAAAAAAAAAACAAAAAAAACCCCAAACAGACTGGAATGGTTATAAAACTTTCTTGGCCCAGCAGTTGTCACTAACTCCTAAAATAATATCAATCCTATTCTGGGACTCTCTAAAAAGGAGCCTGTTAACTGTGGCTTGCTGCTTTAGGGCTGGGTTACATAATTCTCAGAACAACC